AAACCGGTTTCGGGGGCGGCTCGACACCTAAACCCGAAGCCTGTTTGGGCAGGACCCCCTGAAATGAGGAGGAAGCGGTTTTAAGACTGGAAAGAATGCAGGAAGGAACGTGCGGGCCCCAGAGCGGGTCACCGGGGATCGTCTTAAGAATGCAGGCAGTGAAGAATGAGGACCTTTATGATTGAAAGCAGAAGATGTAAAAACCCTTAGCATTGCAAAGGGTTTCAGAATCTTCTAGAGATTCCCCTCCCCTGCCCTGCCCCCAACACGTCTCCTCCGCTGTTTGCACGGTGAAGGGAAAAACCAGGGAAGAAGGGGACACTTTGCAGGACAGCCCTCATACCAGCCTTCTCCTTCTGGAAAATTCTCAGATTCAGGGTCAGCGCTGCCCAATATAACCTTGTGCTCTGACATTAAAGTCCTGTATCTGCTGTGTCCCGTGGGGCAGCCACTATCCACATGTAGCTCTTGAACTCTGGAAATTGTGGGCAGACTGAATTTCTAATTTTATTTCTCTGTGATTCATTTAAATGTTAACATACACTTTTTTTTTTTTTTTTTTTGAGACAGAGTCTTACTCTGTCACCCAGGCTGGAGTGCAGTGGCATCATCATAGCTCATACTGCAGCCTCCAACTCCTGGGCTCAGGTGATCCTCCTGCCTCAGCCTCCCAAGTAGCTGGGACTACAGGCATGCGCCACCACGCCCGACTAATTTTTCAATTTTTAGTAGAGACGGGGTCTCACTCTTGCTCAGGCTGGTCTTGAACTCCTGAGCTCAAGGGATCCTCCCGCCTCGGCCTCCCAAAGTGCTAGGATTACAGGTGTGAGCCTCTGCGCCCAGCCAACATACACTTTTATTTAACTTTAATTGCTTGGAACATTATAAAAAAAAATCAATACTCGATTCTGTTATTGGAAAACCCTCGAGTATGTTTGGAGCAACTTGGGTAAGTGAAACCTGCGTTTTCAACGATCCCTTTTATGAAATCTACATATACAGATGGACAATTTCCAATGAAAGCTGAGCCTCTGATCTGAGATGGGTTGCCAGGATAAAATACACGCTGCATCTTCAAGGCTTCTTGTGGAAAAAAGAAAAAAAATCCTGTAGACAATCTCATTAATCATTTTTTAGTATCGATTACATGTTGAAATGAAATTTTTGGATACATCAGGTTAAAGAAAATACATTTCATTTCTCTTGTTTCTTTTTTACCTTTTGAAAGAAAACTGAAAATTCCATATGTGGCTCGAATTAAATTATATTTCTTTTTTTTTCCTGTCTGCCTTTTTTTTTTTTTTTTTTGGTGACTCTTTTTTTTCTTTATTTCAGCGTATTACGGGGATACAAATGTTTAGGTTACATAGATTGCCTTTGCCCCACCCGAGTCAGATCTTCAAGTGTGTCCATCCCCCAGATAGGGTGTACACTGCACTCAGTAGGTGTGAATATATCCCTCCACCATCTTCCCTCCTATTACTGGGCATCGAATTGAATTATATTTCTAACCCTATACTTCCCCGGTCACCCACGGGGACAAGCTATAGTTTGCCATTGCCCTTGAACTTAAAATGAAGTTGGCAAAACTGGATAATTCTTCCTGCACTGTTCATTGAGGTTTTATTCCTGCTGGAACCCCTTCCAGGAAGTCTTCCTTGGTTGGACCAGACCGAGGCAAATAGCTTATTTTTTTTTTATTCTCTTATATAGCTCCTGAAGCTCTTTTTGATGACATCAGTTATATTTTAAGTGGATTCGGGTAGTGACTAGGCGGTTGCCAGATTATAAGTTCAGGGACAACGACATCTTGGAACAGTGTCTGGCAATGGATCGGGTCCTCAGCGGATATTTGCTGTGTAGACAAGCTTTCTCCAGGTTATTGCTGTGTGAAAACGATCTCACTGCTTCCCGATGCGAGTGGCATTCCGTTGCTTTTCCATTAGGCGTGTTGCAGAAGGAACACAGGCATGTTTACTGATATTTGAGGAAACCTGTAGCGGGGCAGTGACGCGTGGAGCTGTGATCCTAGCACTGCTGTGTCCTTAACGCTCAGCCTATGGGAGCCTCGATTTGCTCATCACAAAAATGGGCGTGAAGGTGGCACCTCCTCTTGGGACCATTTTTAGGATTTAGCCTGAGATGGTGCGCACGAGAGCTGGGGCCAAGTGTTTTATTAACACACAGCAAGTTCTCAGAAAATATGAGCTACTTCCTCGTCATTTCCCATCCCTACCTGTGTATAGGCTTTTAATACCTCCGGGTTCCTGCCCAGAGGTATTAAAAGCCAGCAGAGAAGTCCCTGCGTCTATGGCTGGCGCCGTTTCTAGCACCCTCTGGGTATTTTCTTGTCCCAGTGGCAAATTGCTCTATTGTCTTCGACCCAGGGGGACACATACGGCTTTAATGAATTAAGACTTCGATTCATGGGACATCTAAAAAGAAAGGCAATTCTTTATTGTCTTCTACAATTCTAGCTGTTTCCTCTCGATTTAAAACCACGTTGGTGAGAGGGGATTCACACGGCCTAAAATTCATGCCACGTTAAGCGTGCAGTTAGGTGGGTTTTGGATTAATACATTCAGAGTGGTGCAACCGTGGCCACCGTCAATTCTAGAACATTCTCATTATCCCCCAAAGAAAGCCCGTACCCTTTAGCTATAACTCCTCCTTGCCCGCTACCCCCAGCCCCTGGCAGCCGCCAAAGAGACTTTGTGTCTCTGAGGATTTGGCTGTTCTGCGATATTTCGTATCAGTGGAATCACGCACGACGGGGCCTTTTGTGTCCGCATTGGCTTTTTTCGCTGAGCTTCACGTTTTGAAGGTTCATCCGTGTTGGAGTGCAAATCAGAGCTCCGTTCCTTTTTTTATGGAACTCAGGCTGGAGTGCAGGGGTGCTATCACCGCAACCTTGAACCCCTGGGCTCAAGCGATCCTCTTGCCTCAGCTTCCCAAGTAGCTGGGACTATGTAGGCACCACCACCATGCCAGGATACTTTTTTTTTTTTCTATTTTCTGTAAAGATGGGGGTCTTGCTATGTTGCCCAGGCTGGTCTCGAACTCCTGACCTCTAAGCCATCCTCCCGCCTCAGCCTCCCAGAGTGCTGGGACTACAGGTGTGAGCCACCTCACCCGGCCAACAATGAGTAATTTTTTTAAAGCATAAGTGCATCCCAAACATTGCATGGGATGGATAGACTTATCCTAAAAAAAGGTATCCGCCGCTTATCTGAAATTCAAATGTAGCTGGACATCCTGCATTTTTATTTGCTGGCCTTGGCAACCCTGCGTGCATCCTTGGCCAATCGGCTTTGCCCAGTGGAGCTCCGGACTTGTCGTGGGAAGGGCGGGGGTGGTCTCTGTACCTGGAAGCCTCAGGGGTGGCACGAGTAGGGGGGCAGCTGGACCCGGCCTCCTCGTCCCCTTGAAGCTGCCTCCCAGCCTGGGTTTGGCCTCTGCGGGGCCCCTGCTTGGCTCAAAACCCCAAGCAGCAAGTGTCAAGGCTAGGGGTGGTGCCTTACTGGTAGCCGGGTCCCAGGGCTTCTCCCCGACTTCCTAGTGAGTACGTGTGTGTGTTTTCCCTTGACTTAGCCTAATCCTTCTGCGGCGTGGAATGTGATGCAGGGACATTGCCACTTTGTTTTGCTCAACTGTTTTCTTTCTAATTTGTGCTTCCTTTCTTTTTTTTTTTTCCGCTCAGGGTTGTTCTCAGGGTGGATTTTTAAGAGGATTTACTATTCTTCTTTGGAACAATCTGTTTGCCTCCAAGATATTGGGGGAAAGTTTAGTGTCTTGGAGTTGTGTACTGAGGCTCATGTTCCAGGAGCCGGGGGCTGTGTTGTTGGTGTGTATGTTGTGTGTGTATGTATGTTGTGTGGTGTGTGTGTGTGTTGGCAGGGAGAAGCTGTCAAGAGTTTGATTCTGGCAAATGTTAACTCACATACAAGGGACGCAAGGAGAAGGGAAAGGCCCACCTTAGTACACAGAGGAAAGGAAATCAGGGAAGGCTGCCTGGAGGAGGTGGCGTTTGAACTGGATCTTGCAGGACGATAGGCTGGATTTAGAAATAAGAAGCTAAGGTATCCAAAGGGCTTTGCCAACCTAAAGCTAGCCTAGCCTAGAGATGCCTGTTATATGTTTGGGGGAATAAAACAACAACAACAACAACAAAATAGCTGACAGGAACGGAGCACCTACTGTGTTTCAGGCCCTGCTTAGGTGCCGGCCCTGCAAAATTTCACTGCATCCCCCTCGTAGCTAGCTCATGTTACGGATAAGGCCTTGGGGAGCCCCGGAGTTGCACAGGAGCAGTACTCAGCCCTGGGTAGTGGGGTGCAGAGGACGGAGGGGTGGAATCTTGCGGGCTACGAGGGGGACGTACAGGGTGATGGGGAGCCATGGAGGGTGTCAGAGCCTCAGCAGGGCCCACCTTCAGGACAGCGAGCACGCAGGGCGTTTGCGCGGTGGACATCACACCCCCCAGGAAGCCCTTGCTGCACCCAGGCGAAAGGTAATTAGGGCTTGACGGCCAGCCAGGCAGGACACGGGGCCGGGAAGAAGAGAGCCACACCAGGTGGGCGAGTTGGCAAAGCGCACGTGTCGGCTCTCCTCGCCCCGCCTCTGGCGCAGGCACCTTTATCCCCGTAACTCAGTTCCTGAAGCTCTCGGGCATGGACGCACCGGGGGCGCCTCCCCTGTCCCCGCCGGCACCTGCCTCCTTACCCAACCCTCCCTAATCCTATTGTCTCCGTTGCCTCACATCAGAGGCGATGATTTCTGAAGGCCGCCAAAAGGAATTATTTTCTTTGCCTGCTGCAAGTCGTTACCCAGGCGACCGTAGGGTGGGCGCAGAATTGGCGGGGCCGGGTGCAGGGTGGACATGCAGGGCCGGGGTCGCATGCCCGTGCACTTGGCTCTGCCCTGGGCTCTTCTCATGCACCCGTGGGTGCACCTTTTCCTTCTACTCACTTGTCCCGCTCTGCACGTCTTCCCCCTTCTAGTGTGCCCCGGCATGGACATCCGGAACAACCTCACCAGGCTGCACGAGCTGGAGAACTGCTCGGTCATTGAGGGCCACCTGCAGATACTCTTGATGTTCAAGACGAGGCCCGAGGATTTCCGAGACCTCAGTTTCCCCAAACTCATCATGATCACCGATTACTTGCTGCTCTTCCGGGTCTACGGGTTGGAGAGCCTCAGGGGCCT